CGTTGCGGCCGTTGGCGGCGGCCGTTGGCGGCGGCTCGCGGAGCAGCCCCGGCCGCGGTCGCCTGGCGGACGGTCCCGACAGGAGCCCGGGGAGAAGATCGGCGAGCTGTCTGTGGTGGAGAGATGCCGCGCTTACAGAAGCGCGGGGCTTGTTCTTTATTTATTGATTGATTGATTGATTGCGCGGCCGCCAGGTGCGTCAGGTAGAGGCACAAAAACGCTGCCGCCCGTCGGGGGAATAGCAGTCCCGTTCGGCGCGGCCCCGGATGGCGGCGCGCGGGTAGGAGAGCCGCCCGCCCCGGGGTCCCGGCCGGGATTTGGGCTCTTGGTTTCGCCCCGGGAAGAGCGGAAACGGGAGGCRGCTCGCGCCGCGCTCGGCGGAGCGGGACCCCCGCGCGGGGCCGCCGGTGCCGGGCGCGGGATGGGGCAGAAACGTCGCCGCTCCGCGCGAAGCTTCGGTCCGCGGCGCGGGGCCGGGCCGCCCGAGCCGCGCAGCGGGGAGGAAAGTTGGAGACGGCTCCTCCGCAGGCAGCGGGCATGAAGAAACGGGCGCTCGCTTGAGCTACCGATGCTCTCTGCTTTTTTTTTTTTTTTTTTTTCCCCTTGTTTTTTTCTTATTTTTGTTTTTTGAATAAATCTCCATTTAGTTCAGACTTTCCTGTTTCTAGGTGACCTTTGGGTTGCAGGGATACCAGGTACCATTAGATTTTTATTTGACTGTTGCTGTGGAACTCGTTTCATGCCTGGTTGATCGGAGACTTGGCTGCGGAGGGGCTGTGTTTGTTGATGTGTTTGGGGTGAAATGCATCAGTCTGAACGCGGCCGCTCGGGTGCCCCTTGCAGGGCTTGGGGAGCCCGGGGYGCTCGCAGCGTGAGCCGTCTCCTACAAAACAGCGCTCGGCTCTGATACAGAGCCTGTCTCTGCTTTGGGTGTCCGCGTGTGTTTTGTTCTAGCCCACGGTCAAATTCACCTGGTAAAACTTAGTAGGAAGGCATGCCGGTGCAATACGTGGAGTGTAGATACTGTGGATAAGCATGCTCGTTAAGTTCTAATAAGTTCTGCTTAAAGAAAAACAGAAYGAAATCCTCATGCGATCGGTAGCTCATAAGCTGCATCTAGTATCCACTGAAACACCTCTGTCACTTAATGCTTCTAAGAAATTGCTTTAAATTGCTTTATTTTACTGCATTCTAMTTAATTCATAGCTGTCGTTCTGAGCCCATGTCAGACTGCACAATCTCTTTCCTTTTTTTTTGATCCTCTTAAATTTATTTATCAGATAGTGTGGCTCTCTCGCTAGAAGAGCAGGATCAAGTTACTTTTTTTTTTGTCCCCTCATTTGACCCAGATTTTTATTTGCTGAAGTCCTAAAGCATGCTTACCTATTGATTGTGTTTAAAGTTAGAAATTTGCTGTTGTGCAAAAGATCAAGTGCAGCCCATACACCATTTTAATATTAGGCCTACAATGGAAACAGGGGACCTGCTGGTACGTTTCAGAAGGTTGAAATTCACTTTTATCCTCATTTTAAACTGTAACAGAGTTTCCTGGTTTTCAGAAGTGCTGGTCACTCACAGCTGCAACTGATTTCTCTAGGAATTAGCCTTGCTCAGCACTTAAGTTGGGGGTAAGTGATTATCTGGGAGTGGCTTTATTTTAAAGTAGGCACTTCTGTCTGAAAATTTTAGGCTAGAGGAATGTGATTTGATACATATGATGATGTTCTAATAAAATTTTTGCTTTAAAGGAATGTAGGCATAGGGCCATACTTCTTTCTAAGTGCAAGAAGCATTCAAATCATTCATTTTATGTTTTTTGTCCCCATTTTTCTACCATTTTGCTTAAGATAAAGTTTATAAGTTGTGTTAAGTAAAGGAATGCAGCATTAAATACTGAATAATTAGCATCATATAATTTCAATACTGTGGAAAGATTTTTAAGTATTGTAAGCATTTATATTTGAGTTTCTACAGTTTTAATACTAATAACAGTTCAAGTTAATTCAATGAAATCATGTTTCATTACCTATATGCAGTTTTCAAAATAATGAAAGCTAGGTCATGCCTTCTACACCCCCCCCATCCCTCCCCTTACAGTGAGAGGCATGCTAAAACAGAAGGGTTTTGTTTTTAGGGTCATCTTTAGAGCAAGGTTTACTGCCATGGAGGCTTGCAGAATTATGGATTTAATGCCTCTGCATCCCCACCTAATTGCAGTCCCTTTTTCCATGGCAGAAGCACTTGCGGTTCTGTTCTGTCCTGCTTTTCATCCCATCCCTTCGTGCCTGCTCAGGTGACTGTGCAATAAGTTTGCTTAASTGTGAAAGGGCAAGTCAGAGCCAAGCCCTCTAGAAATGCTGCTTTATTTTAGAGCATCTTTTATTATAGTGCATGATTAAAAACAAAATATTGCAGTAGCCACTTTCGCTAGCTTTGCAGTCCTTATAACGTGGTAATGCGAGTTCTCTAGAGGAGCAGAGCTGACAATGTCTTATTTCTCTGGGCTTTGTGTCCCACGTACCACTAGCGTGTCTACCTTTCAGTACTTCTGATTGGCCTCCTTCCTTCCTGCCCTCTGCATTTTGTTTTGTTTCCTCCTCCTATGCCGCTTTGCAGCCTCTTGGATGAGGGGCAGCCTGTGGCACCACTGGCGTTGGCCACTGCCCTGTGGCCAGCGAGGGCGAGCAGTTCCGCTCCAGCATTGCGRAGCTGTTCCTTCGAGGTTGTGGTGGTGGGCAGATAGGGACAGACTGTCATTTGGGGTTTTCTAACTGCTGATCGCTCTTTTCTCAGAACTTGTAAGACCGTCATATCCGTGAGACCTTTTCCCTGAGTTTGCTTGAAATTGGACAAATGATTCAGGAACGATTGATGGGGCATGGAAACAGGACTGGCAAGCAGCCATGTGGGAATAGACAGAGTAAACGGATATGCCTTGTTTCCTTAGGAAATTAGGAAATTTCCTTAGGAAATTGCACTTCGTCATTTATTAACTTTACTTTTTTTGTATATGTTTTTGCTAGTTATGGAGACAAAAGGATACCACAGCTACCCAGAAGGCTTAGATATGGAGAGACGGTGGGGTCAAGTTTCTCAGTCTGTGGAGTATTCTTCTCTAGGTGCTGGAGAGCAGACTGGTGACAGTAACTATATGGAGATCGTAAGCGTAAGCTGTGCTGCCGGCGCTTTTCCAAACAGCAGCGCTCAAGGAAACAACAAAGAAAAACCTGAACTACTCAGCTGCCTGCAGCAGGACGGCAATCCGCCTGGTATTTTGCCCTCTGACATCAAAACTGAGACAGAGTCGAAGGAACTCTCAGCAACTGTAGCTGAATCTATGGGTTTATATATGGATTCAATACGAGATGCTGATTATCCCTATGACCAGCAGAATCAAGGGAGCCCAGGGAAGATGTATCAGAATGTGGAGCAGCTGGTGAAGCTCTATAAGGAGAATGGCCACTGCTCTTCTCCCCTGCACGGCGCCAGCAGGCCCTTGAGGTCTTTGATGTCGGACTCCAGTAGCGCCATGAACGGTGGTGCCATGCATGCGATTGTCAAAAGCCCTATAATGTGTCAAGAGAAAAGTCCGTCGGGCTGTAGTCCTCAGAATATGAATTCCTCAGTGTGTAGTCCTGCTGGGATTAACTCTGTGTCCTCAACTACTGCTAACTTTGGGAACTTTGCAGTGCACAGCCCAATTGGCCAGGGGACTCCCTTGTCCTGCTCGCCTAACATTGAAAACCGGGGGTCCATGTTGCACAGTCCTGCACACATTAGCAATGTAGGGTCTCCACTTTCTAGTCCTATCAGTAGCATGAAATCACCGATTTCTAGTCCTCCCAGTCATTGCAGTGTGAAATCTCCTGTCTCGAGTCCTAATAATATCACTCTGAGATCTTCTGTGTCCAGTCCTGCAAATATGAACTCAAGAAGCTCCATTGCCAGCCCTTCCAATGCCAATAACAGGTCCACGCGTTCTAGTCCAGCTGTTAGCACTGTGGCATCTTCTATCTGTAGCCCTGTAAACAACTCTCTAGGATTTCCTGCTTCTGGCACACCTGCTGGACCTGGCAGAAGCCAAGACACTGTTCCTAGTCCAGAAACAAAAGAGAAAGGTGCTCAAGAAATCACATTTCCTAAAATGGAGGAAATGGAGAATGCCATCTCTAAGAACACTCAGATGAACCTTGTTCAGTTTATAAAACCCGAACCAGATGGTTCGTTTGGCAGTGCGTGTATTGGTGAAAGCAGTAAAATAAATTCTGATTCCCCATTTTCAGTACCAGTAAAGCAAGAATCAACTAAACATCCATGTTCTGGTGCCTCTTTTAAAGGGAATCAAACAGTAAATCCTTTTCCATTTACAGATGGCTCGTATTTTTCTTTTATGGATGACAAAGACTACTATTCTCTTTCTGGGATTTTAGGACCACCTATTTCTTCATTTGATGGAAACTGTGAAGGTAGTGGCTTTTCAAATCCAGGCCTGCCTGTGGGAATTAAACAGGAGCCTGATGACGGCAGCTATTATCAAGAAAACAGTCTACCATCGTCTGCCATCGTTGGTGTCAATTCAGGTGGACAGTCATTTCACTACAGGATTGGTGCCCAGGGCACGATATCCTTGTCGCGACCTGTTGCTAGAGAGCAGACGTTTCAGCACTTGAGCTCCTTTCCCCCAGTCAGTACACTCGTTGAGACATGGAAATCTCATTCGGAGTTGGCGTCCAGAAGAGGTGATGGGTATCCAGTTCTAGAATACATTCCAGAAAATGTGTCAAGGTGAGTAGACAAATTACTTTTTGTACTTATATATATATATATATATATTGCATAAGCAAGGAGTGAATTAAAATGGTGGCGGGCATGATATTTCTTAAGCTGATGCATAGCTGTTTATGTCTGTGTTTCAGTTCTTGTCATAAGAGTTGCTGGTTTCTTCCTTGCTATATTTTATTCTGGTTTTAATAAAATCAAAGTGCTCATTTTAATATTTAAAAAGAACATACTACATTCTGTTGTTATCAGACTTGATAGTGTAGCTTTAGTATGTTTATAAGTTCTTACTACTATAAATGTTTTCTCCGTAATGAGAGCTTAGTAAAATTGCTCTCGTGTGTCCAATAATGAATATTCTATCTTAGTTGGTGCTTGAATGTGCTTTACCTCAGATGAAATGTTGAGATGAACATAATAATGTCAGAAATCTATTTTTGCAAGATACCTTGTTAAACATTTGCACCAGCCTTTAACTGGTTAAGTTTAAAAATTAAACTTCAGAAGCCCCTGGCAACATATTATTTCTGTATTATAACTGTAGGAACATTTGGTTTGTATATATAGAAAAATGCCTCCAGAAGGAGGAAGGCTGTTAACTTGATGCATTTGAAAAGGATAAATGGATAATCTGATCTCTTCACTTTTAGTGGAAATGTGCAAGTGTCACTTAAATTTATGTTTCTTGTTGAATTCGTGGAAACACATACTTCAAAAAAGTATATGTTCATTTATTTTATATAAGGCATTCTCATAAACTAGTTTCCTAATTGATATTAAAAATTATTACATGTATCTGACAACATGACTGAGTTACAATACTTACATAACCTCTTCATGTGTCAAACTGACTCACCAAGACTTTTTTAATTAAAGCTCAGTGAAATGGCCAATAACAGAGTTTGTGTTTACTTTTTCCATGTCTTTTGTTTGCACTTCTGTTCTCATCAAAAGATTTGATCTCCTTGGAAGATACATGACTGTCCTCAGTGAATACAACTTCTGTCTTGTTCTTGGAGTAGGGGAGAAGAGTTTGTGTCTACACAAAATAGCTGCTTCCATGTTTGGATGGTTCAAAAGATTTCTGGGGGGAAAAAAAGTATTGAATTGAAAAACATCTGGTGAAGGATGTTTGACATCCTTCATCCTGTTTGACAGGTGGAAAGTAGTCTACCTATCAAGAGTTCATAAGTGGAAAAAGAAATATTTAAATTTTAGGTTCAGACAGGTGTAGGAAACATGACCAGTATCTCTGCAATCCCCTTATTGTCATCCAGGCTGTATTTGATGTTTGATTTGTCTATTTCAAATATGGTCTATGAAAAATGCACTTTAAAAGGATGACTTTCTCAACTTGAAATGCGTGTATCTTGCCTTCATGCTGAACTTGACGCATAGCTAGATGTTTTTTTATGAGCCACATTTGCCTTAAAAATATTTCCTAGATTAAGGAAAATTAAGTTGTTGCTTCTTCATAATGTTTTACCTGATGAAATTTTCATAAATTTGGTCATTTATGTAGTGGAAGAAGCTCACTGACAGACTGATGAAATGTCCAAAGGTGAAGGACTAATATTTTACTGAGTTTGAGCACTGTCAACTGTGCAAGTAGCTGCTGCTGCCCCTGAGAGCTACTGCCTACACTGAGTTGAGGGTGTCATCTGTCRCAGGGACAGGCATGGAGAATATTGATAGGAACATGGCTATTACTACATACTTTTTAGTGACAGTTTCTTATTAGACTTTTGAAATAATGTCATCTGATCTAATACTGCTTCATGGTAGCTTCTTTTCATCTGTTTGCCTCTAAACCAATAAATAGATAAATAGGGTCACAAGATTTGGTACAACTGTTCTTTTTCATCATTGTTTTCTAAGCTCTTGTATTTTAGGTATGCAGTGAGAGTGTAGCTCTTACTTTGCATCGTTGAAATATTGAAAATTTTAATACTGAGGGCTTGTGCTGTGCGTGTGTGGAAATCTGTTTAAGTGATCAAGATCTCCAAGGTTGTAACACTTGAGACATGCTGATCTGTATTTCAGATTAGGACGTGTTGTCATTTCAGATCTCTAACCTACCCCTGTTATTTAAGTAAATGTAGCTATTAATTTGTTTGTTAATGGCTTTGTGCTAGCAGGTGCAGCTGGAGATCTGTACTAAGCCCTTAAAAACTTCAAAATTTTTGTATAAGTCATTTTAGCCTAGCAGATTTGAAAGGAAAGTGAACCTTCAAATGTGTTTAACAAATGGCTTGTAGAATTATGTAGAGAATAACATTTGCTTTTCCTAGCATTTCATACATTTTTTTTAATAAAAATAATAAGTCATCAAAAAAGTGATTCTGTTTATACCAAATAAATAAATCACTTAGCAGAGATGTGTTCATAAATTTCTCTACTGGTGAGTCATGGAGACTGTTACACACGCAGAAGCTCATTCTTGCTAGTGAGTCTCAATTTCAACGTTGCCTTTGTCCCAACAGCCCAGAGTGGATTTCAACCWTCCCATGTTGACCTGGTGTTGAGATTAGAGAGTCTTTCTTCGTGTTGCAGAGCTTCTGGATTGCACTTCTGAGTGCTTTGCGTCGAAGCTGGGTTCTTGTTTGCACAGTTGTCTTTTCTTTTTTATTATGTCAATCATATCAGAAGTCAAATGTTTTGCATGATTTTAACGTATGTGATTAGCCCTTCAAAACCTGCAACAGAAAGCTAGGATACTTCAAATCTTCTATTCTGTACATTACATATATCTTGTTTGGCAGTGGCATTATTTTCTGAAACTCGATATTGTACCTTATTTAATCTACTTCTAGTTACAGTTTATGTGGTGAAAATGATTGGGTGCTGCCAGGAATGAAGATACTTCATTTTGAGAATAGATATTGAGAATATTACTGTAATTTTTTTCTCCTCTCATGAGTATCAATTTGTATTAAATTGGGGCTTTCGTGAGTTATGCTTGCTGATAGTGTCTTGAAGTAAGTATAGATATTTAAAATGCCTTGCTAGTGTGCTGACCTAGCATTCACTGTCAGAGCATCTATTTCTTTTTGACTTATGCAGTTGTTTCTTTTTAATATAGTTGGTGGTAACATTTTATCATATTGCAACTACAGTGTGTGAGAACAAGTTTCTTGAGCAAAACCATATTTCCTTACTCCCTTTTAAATTTTTGTAGTGCTAATGTACATGCAGAGCATCTCTTTGAAGGATTTTACATATTTTATTTTTGATAGAATGAATCATACCTGTGTGTCTGTGTGTACAGATCCCCTTTTTCCCCCAAAATGAATGGCATTTCTAAGGAATAATGGTTTATAAACTAACTAATAGCAAGGTGGGCTTGAAAATGAGGTGTGTGTGGTTGTASGTTGTCACTGACAGACATCCCATTAAGGTGGTTGCTCATCTGAATCAGGATACAATCTGAAGACTCATGATTGTGCCAATTATGTAATTTTCCAAATGGCCTAGGAAAATGTCACGGTTGCTTGGAACAACAATAAAAACTGTGGAGGATGACCTTTCTGCTGCATTAGCTCTTACCTAAAGCTTTCTTGCAAATATGCCTTTTTCCCTCTAATTTCCATATCAACTCACGTATGTGCACTCACTGTTCTTGGCTTGGCGCTTGTGGAGGGAGCAAAGGGCTGGTATTCTTGTTGCTATTTCTTCACAGGGGTTGGAATTTGATGGTATCAAAATTTGTTGTAGGTTAATAGTAAATCTCTCTGTATTACGTGGGAGCAGAGCTGCTGTCAGGCTCCACTGTGGGAAAAGGTGGATCAACAGTGGAGCTATGAAGTTGCGCAGATTCCTAAATAGTAGTTTCTGTTTGCTAGCCTCTTTGTGGAGGTGAGGCATGAAGGTGAAGTATTGGTGTAATGCAATGTGCAATATAGTCACAAAATTGTGACATTCGTCATTGGTTTTTAAAATTTACYATTTTAACATAAATTACATGTGATTATTGAAAAGTATACTGTTGCAATTCAGACCAGGAGGTGATTCTTCAAAACGTTGTTTTGTGTTATTTTTAGAGTSTCACTTAAAGTTTGTCGCAAGACTGTCTTTGACTCCCTGAGATGTATGGTCAAAATTTTAAGCAACTGTGTGGATAATGCTTTCGGGGGCTATAAGTTCATGAACCTTTCATGTAGGTCAGGACTTGCTTTCACTGTGGAGTCCAGCACCTGCAGGCAGGCCTCAACAGTGTTTCCTGGCTCTCAAGGAGGCAGGGTCAGTAGCATAAACTGAACTTGTGGGAAGCAAGAACCAAAAACGAAAGAGGAATGGGAATAGGGGGATGTCATTTATAATCACTCATTCAAGTCAGGGAAGGTTTTCTGGTTAAAAACTTGATAAATCTCATAAACAAAAACAAGAACAAAACCAACCCCCTCCCCTTTGCTAAATATTGTCTAGAATAGTCATCTGTCAGAATCATATCGTCAAGAGAGACAAAGGTGTGGTAAATACTATTTTTTAGTATAACAGGGGCCTTGACCTCTGTTTGTTTACTGATGAACCTTATAGGGAAAAATAATGAACTGTTAAAATACTTTGTGCTGGAAGGGATTGTTTCTCCACTACCAACCACCCCTGGAGCTTCCCACAAATTTTCAGTGCAACTTTTTCAACAATAATTCTGTCATTTTGTAGACAATACCTCTCTAAATCTGTACTTTTTCAATTAGAAAAATAACTTTTTTATAGTTTTATGTAGAATTTCATTAGTTTATWCTACTTGCATAAGTTCCTTTTGTATCTAAATTATAAGTATGTATATCTTTCTCTTGTGGAAAGGCCTGTTTTAATATGCCAGRCCAGAAGATCTGAGTGTTTTCCTCAGCGTATCAGCTTGTGTTTAGTAGCCTCGTGCTTTCTRCAACTTTGCGTATTGTTATTTTTCTGAGGTTGCTTTTCTTTATTTTAGAGGTTTTATATAGGTATTCAGGATTTGTTTAGTGGGTCTTTCGAAAATGTAGCTTCCACTAGAAAGTATA